GGTCTATAGAAACACAAATGATTTTAGTGTGTTGATTTTATATCCTACAACTTTGCTGAATTTATTACTGCTAGTAGCTTTCTTGTGGATTCTTTGGGACTTTCTATAAATATAGGATCATATCATTCTGCAAATAGAGATAGTTTTAATTCTTCCTTTCCAGTTTGGATGCCTTTTATTTCTTTTTCTTACATAATTGCTCTGGCTAGAATTTCTAGTACAATGTTGAATAGGAATGTTGAATGTAGACATCCTTATCTCATTCCTGATCTTGGGGGAAAGCTTTCAGTCTTTCACCATTGCGTATGGTGTTAGCTATGGGTTTTTCACAAAGGCCCTTTATCATGTTGAGGAAGTTAAAGTGAATTTTTAAGATGCTATTCATAGAAATAATGTGAGGCCTGGGATAAGGTTATCATTCTCCAGAGGTGATTTGCTATTGCTTTTGCCAGCTCCTTATGGCCTAAGCAATGAAGGATTACTTTAAGTCAAATTCAGGGTTTGGGATTTCTGGGCTTCTGCAATTAGAGGAAAGGCTAGCTTATTCCTTACTCCCTGGGTGCAGCTATCTGGGGTTCCATCACAAAGCAGGGGACTGGTGTACTGGGTCCTTATTTCTGAGGGCCCTGGACTCAAAATTTATCTTTCTAACCCTGTTTGTCTGCTAAAGCCAGAAATGCAAGTGACCAGGGCAGGAGATTCCGATGGGGTGCACACACCTCTGATTCCTTCTCCTCTTGAACCTTGGCCTAGTGTTTCCGCATTATCTCTATAACTCTTTGATACTTCTAAGAAGATACTTAAAAAAAAAATTTCATCTGGCTTCTTAGTTGTCTTTAGCAGGAGAATCTGCAAGCCTGATGTTCTTGGAAATGGTGGTTCTCTGCTGATTATTACTCTTCCAGAGTTGGAGATTGTGAAATCCAAGCAGAACTTTCTTCTGCCTTATCTTATGAAGGGACAAATTTGTTTTTCATCCATCTATGGAGAGGTATGTTGAAAAGAGCAAGAATCTGAAGAAGGGCACTGTAAGTGAGGCATTTGTGTTATTCATCTTCCTGTTGGTGCAAGCAGGCATACAGCCTACCTTTCAGTAAAAGCTCAGTCACCTTGTCATGCTATGCTTAAGAACAATGGTCTTGGGTGTCTGGGTGGCGCAGTCATTAGGTGTCTGCCTTGGGCTCAGGTCATGATCCCAGGGTCCTGGGATCGAGCCCCGCATCGGGCTCTCTGCTCTGCGGGAAGCCTGCTTCTCCCTCTCCCACCTCCCCTGCCTGTGTTCCCTCTCTTGCTGTGTCGCTCTCTGTCATATAAATAAATAAAATCTTTAAAAAAAAAAGAACAGTGGTCTCAGTCTATTAGTGTCATCTGATCTAGGAAGAAGAAAAAGTTGCTATAAGTTGGTCCCCGGGGTCTCCAAGAATCTCTCATAATACTAGGACATGTATTATGGCAGCCTTTTATTTATTTTTTTAAAAAAGATTTACTTATTTGTTTGTTTGTTTATTTATTTTAGGGGGGAGGGGCAGAGGGAGAGAGAGAATCCCAAGCAGACTCCCCCCTGAGTGAAGAGCTGGATGTGGGGCTTGATCCCAAGACTCTGAGATCTTCACCTGAGCTGAAATCAAGAGTCAGACACTCAACCGACTGAGCTACCCAAGCACCGCTAATGCAGCCTTTTTAAAGAGAAAATCACTGAGGAGCAAAGAGGGTCAATGAGTTGTTAGGATCAGAGCTAGGGCTAAGCCAGCTCCCTCCCTCCTTCCTTCCATCCTTTCTTTCTTTATGATTCACTTCTGTGAATTTGAAATTTATTTATATCTCCAAATTCCAATTGTTTATCAAAGAATGTCGGATGTTACATTTAATACAACTGAATTTTAAAATTCTCTAAAATACCAAAATGATTTTTAAAATGGCTAAATTACTGTAATTTCTGGATCAGGCTTTCCCTCTGCCCCCAAATCAAATTTCACAGAGAAAGTAGATCCCTCTTCTAATCCACCTACACCCAAATCCTCTGCTGTGCTGCCTGGAGCTCTCTTTCCATGCCATTTATAAATAGAAGGAATTGATTCACATATATTTTGGAAGCTCATCTAATACATACGTGGGAGTTCACGGGAGGTTTCTACCGTTCGGTACTCTCCCCAGGATGCCTCAACTGGCACCACCCTATATTTAATCCACATTTAATTCATTGCTGACAGCTCCCAAACATCTCAAATCTATTTAGTTCTAGGTATCGCCACCACCTCTACCTTCATCCCAAATACTGTCATTTCTTGCCTGGATGACAGCAATAACATGAGAGCTCTACATTCTCTTGGGCATCCCTCAATCCATTTTCTGTAGAGGATGCTTTTAGGCAGAAATGGCTTGAGCAATGGAAAAGGCCCACAGTGACCACCCAGCTGAATACATACAGACCCATCAGGGGACCCCCCCCCAAAATATCCATAAGCCTTAAATGACCAGTGGACTACGTACAACTAGGCACAGTTACCAAAAAAGGGAAAATTCCATACATCACCATACCTCCTCGCCTTCCCTCCTTAAAAGCAGCTCCCTCCCACTGCCTCCTTGCAGACAGCCTCACCTCTGTGGTCCTGTCCACCACTCCCTTGCCTTGTATTCAATAAGCTTCTACCTCCTTTGTTCTGCCTCAAGCGAGTTCTTTCGGCTTCCACCCCATTGTTGCTCCACATTTGGGGGCCCCCAACCCATCAGACAGATACCCCATTTAGACAGGACCATTTTCTATATTGTGGTCAGAAAGGATTTCCAAAGCTCCTTATTATCTGATTTTTGGCACCATGTAGAATTTTCCATCACACTGCACCTGGCCACAATTGGCCTTTGAGCAATTATCCGTGTGTTGTCAATCTAACCACCAGACTGAACATTCTTTAGCTTGTTTGCTTTTGCTAATCCTTACATCTTTGGTGTCTGGCACATAGTGGGTGCTTAACATATTTTTTGAATACTACATAATGTCAATAAACTCTATGTAATTTACTTATTCTGCTTATTGTACTGCTTCTCTCCTTCTACCGAGAACACATGGGTTTTGTCTGTTTTGTTCACTTACGGACTTATTCTAAGAGCCTAAGAGTGCCTGGTGCTTAGAAAGTCCTTTGTAAACTATTGTGGGGAATGAATAAATGAATGAAGGAGGGAGGGAGGTGACTCCATTGAGAACCTAAGCTCCTTGCAGTCCAGGCTCTTGCTTTGGTATTGTTCCAAGCCCTTAAAAAGTGCTGCCTGAGAATTTCTAGATAGAGAATGTCTCCAGGAAATTTGAATTTGTACTCCGGTACTCTGAACGATGCCAGCCTGAGGCTCAGCCATGCTATAGATAAAAACTGGAGGAAAAGGCAGAGTTTGGCCACAGGCCAACATTTTGAGGTCAGCTACTTTATCTGCGGAATTCCCCACCCCCAGTTCATCTCTTGGCCATCCCTTTAAATTGGAAAATAAATCCCATCCCTGCTAAGGTGTTGGCTGATAAAGGCTTGAGCTATTGCCCCTTCAAGAGGAATTTGCATTTTAATAGAGGCTCGTCAAGCCCCAAAGGAATCAATATCTCTAATGGTGAAATTTCAAGCACCAGCAACTGAGATGTTCTGGGGCGCTACTCTCCAGTGTTTCGGATCCAGCAGGGGATTCCTCCAGTTCCACCGTGCGACAGTGGAAAAATGGCCTTGGGGAATGACCTACCATTGCCCTTTATTACCATGAACGTTGCCTTTTTATGCCCAATCCCTTCAGATTTCCCAACACTCGTGGGTCTCTTAATAACAGCCTTTTCCACACCAGTGGTCTTAAAGTTGCCACATCAACAGGGCCACAAAGAGAATTGTGACAATAAAAACTTCCAAGTTTTCTTGGTACCTCAAAGAAGCCGATAATCAATTTAAAACCTTATACTGGCTAAAGGGAGTAGGAATGATTTAATAGGCCCTTAATAGCATCGTTCACTTAAATTCGTTTGGTGTAATTTGTTTTAAGCCCAAACTTTTCACTTGTATCAAAAGCCCTGCAAACTAAAGGTGGGTAAGAGACATCCGTTTGTGAACCGGGAATGTTTTAAATGCCGAGCCCTCCCGGGCCCAGTTCTCAGCGGATGGCTTGGGAAATTGCGGAACTGCAGAAAAGCGGCAGCTTGGATCTTGGAATTCCGCATTCGGTAGAGGCTGCTGCGCGTCACACCTGGGGCAGCGCACTTGGATTTCACCTCCTCCCGGCTCCCCGCCTGGCCGCTCAGTGTCCCCCGGCCCCACCTCCGCCGCGGAAAGCGCCCATCCCGGGCTGGCCCCAGGCTCGGCCGCCGGCTCGGCCCCTGCGGCTCGGCCCGCCCGCGGGCCCCGGCTCCTGCCGACTGACGGTTCAGCCGCGGAGGCTGCTGCCCTCGACCTTGAGGCGCCTGCGGTCCCGACTGCCGTCCCGCGCGGGAGGCGAGAGCTGCCGAGGCCGGGCCGCGGGGACCGCACCTGCGCCCACCCGCCCCCTGCTCGCGCTCCGGCCCGGGCCCCGGCCCGGCGCGCGGTGGCGGGGCTCGCGCCCGGCACGCGGCAGCTCGCGCCCGCGCTCGGGCGGGGAACGCGCGGGGCGGGCGGGAGAGGGCGCAGCGCTGCGCGGCCGGCGGGCGGGCGGGCGGCCCGGCGGCCCTGCGGAGCGGCAGCGGAGGCGGCGGGGGCATGGGCGCGGGCACGGGCAGGGGCAGCCGGCGTCCGGCTTCCCGCCCGGCCCGGCCCGCTCCCGGCGCGCGGCCGCCGCAGCCCCCGCGGCTCGCGGGAAGGCGGTCCCCTCGCCCGGCGCAACTTGCCTCGGACCCTCTGTGAGGAGAGGCGGCGGCGGCGGCGGCGGCGCGCGCCGGGGCCGGGCGGGAGCGGGGCGAGGCGTGCGGGCGCTCGGCGCGATGCCTCGGGCCGGCGGTCCCCGCGCGCCGCGCCCCGCCGCGCTGCCCCGCAGCCTGTCCCGCCTGCGCGAGTGCCCGGGCCGCTCCCGCATCGTGCTGGCGCTCGGGGCCACGCAGATGGCGCTCGGATGCCTCATCGTGGCCGTCAGCTTCGCCGCGCTGGCGCTCACCACCTCGGCCCGCGTCCGCCACTCCTGCCCCTTCTGGGCCGGCTTCTCGGTGAGTGTCTGCGGCCGGGCGGGGAGGTGCTCCGGGCCCCAGGGCTGCAGCCCGCCCGGGACGGCACCGCGGGCTCCAAGTTCGGGGCGCGAGCGCCCGGGGCCGAGCTGCTGCAGCGCGGGGTGCAGTTCAGAAAACTCCGGGCTGAATAACTCCGGGGACCTTACTCACCGCTCTCGGAGCATCGCTTTCCCTTTGCTATAGCGCCGATCCCCGAGTTACTTTTCTTGGAGAAAACGGAAGCCAGGCGCCCGCCCTCCGCCGAGCCTGCAGCGGCCCCGGGGACCGCCGGGTGAGGGGTGGGCAGCGGGCGCGCGTCCTGCCGCGGGGTCTGCACTGGGCCCTCAGGGGCTCTGCGCGCTGGGGACCCGCGACTCGCCCTGGCCGGACCCGGTGCAGACCCAGCAGGCGGGAGGCCCTGACCGAGGCGGGGAGGTGGGGTCCGAACCGGGTGCGGGGCTGCCTCTCGGCGCGCGCGTCTCGCCTGCGCGGCGGCGGGAATAGGGGCTGGAGGCACGGGACGCGTCCGGTCAGGCTGCGGGTCAGTAGGGGCTTTCGGAAACCGGCTGGCCCTCCCTGCGGCCACTTCCAGACTTGGCCTCGCGGACGTGGCGTTTCCCGCGTGCGTCCGGAACGCTCTGTGGGCGGCGGGACTGGGCCGGCGACCCGAAACCCGCGTCCGGGGGCGTGTTTTTCTGAGCTCCACACCTCGACGGTGACCCGATTTTCAGGCTGTTGACCCCCAAATTAGAGAAGCCAGGGACTAACGAGCCTCCATGGGAGAAAGCCACCAGGAGATCTCTATTATAAGGAAGCGACTGTCCCCAAGAGTTAATTTTGGGGGGGCGGGATTTTTTATAGCCTTTTAATGAAAGTTGTGTTTTCTATATATTGATAAAGAGTGGACATATGGAAACGGAAAAAATACATGGAGAGCAGACATTTATAAAGAGAAGCACTTGTTCTGAGAAGTCTTGACATCTGTAACTACATTTGGTTTATGGTGCCGAAGTACATCTTGTAGGCTTAAACTGTAAACTCAGTATGTTTTAATTCCTTCTCCAGAAATCCAAACTAAGCCTTTGTAATGAATGTTTGCTGTTTGTTCTTGAACGTTGAAATTTAGCAATTCTGCCCAGCTTTGCTTTTTCATGTTGTTCTTTTGTAATGGCCTCTGTTCTCCAAGCCCATTGCATGGCTTTTGAAATGAGATCTGAGTAAAACTGACTCTGTGACACCCTGATCGATACAGGTGTGGTCCTTCATCCTAATGGGGGTATTAATTTTCAAAGCTTATTTCAGACCACGGGTAAGTCTTGGAGAGCTGATTTGGAACAACAGTATGTGTGACCACAGCTCAGGGTGTTTAAATCAGAGAGAGGACGTTGGAGGCAGGAACGGGGGAGCCATGATTCAAATGGATCACTATATATAGTTTTCACACATCTGTTGCTCAGTTTTTAGCATTATTTAATATGCATTATTTTCATGTCCTCTGTTTTGTGGGCACTGATGTTTATGTCTGCTGGAACCAGCCTACAGGTGGCAGACTGGTAAATTAGCTTCACTCCCTGGCTCCTCCCTGAGCCTCCCTTTCTCCCATTTAGCCATAGCTCTGATTTTTGGTACTCCCAAAGGGCATTGAAAAATAGCTGCCTTTTAACGATAAACCTAAAAGGGAAAACATTACCTGGGCACAGTAGAAAAACTGTGTGAAAAATGTACATTCACTCCGTTTTAGTTTGAAGGGGTATATTGTAAAACAATTCACTTTGTATTTCCAGTGTTATTCCTTTCAACAAATTTAACCTATTTGTTTTAACTTCCCCCAATTCAGAGTAATTCTGCAAATATCTGCTATGTGTAGGCATTCCTCTAGGCTCTGGGGACGACAATGAACACAACAAACTCTGCTTATATTTTTGAGATTTTGAAGTAACTTCAATCCTCTGTTTCCTACTCTACCCCCTTAGTTGCGCTCTCTCATTGCCTTGTTTTCTTTCTTCAATTTAATCTGCCACAAACACCTTTAAGATTCTTCTAATACAGAATATATACCATTTTTCACATTTTGTCTCTGCCCTTTGCAGAAATGGTGGTTGGTTCCAGTTATGTTGAGACAGGTTTGCATGTTAGCTTGGCTGTGAGTGGCAATGTTGGCCCCTTACCATATATATATATCTATATATTTATATATCTATATATCTATATATGTCTATGTCCTCCGAGACCTGGAGACTGCCTTGCAAGGATATTTTTCATTTAAGAATGGTGACTAAGGTGTCTGGCTTTATTCTGAAATTTGCCCTGTGGGGTTAGGGCCGCACTCTGGCTCTTCCGCATCTTCTGTAATGAAATGTGAGGGCTATGTAGAAATCTCTAGATTTCTAGGCCTTCCTTGTGGTTTGTACATGGTAAAGAATCACTGTAAAAATAACTTGCCTCTATTTAAGAGAAAATAATACATACGAAAAAGAGCTCACATTTTTTGAGCACGTACTATGTGCCAGACGTTAAGCTGAGTGTTTTATGTGGTGTGATAGCACATTTCATCTGTGGCCCTTGGTGCTCACACTCTTGTGCAGATCCCTTCACTTGAATTTGGACTAGACTTCTGACTTGCCTTGGCCAGTAGAATCCTGAAAACAGAGGCAGCCTCAGGGCTGGGCCTAAGCCCTAAGAAGTCTTGGCGGCTTCTGCTGGGGACACTGAGATGGAGGGGGAGTCAATAACTTGCTGTATTAGTGTTCTGCAGAGAAAGAACCAGTAGCTTGCTCATCCATCCATCCATCCATCCATTCACTTGAGGAACTGGCTGACATGGAAGCCAAGAAATCCCATGATCTTGCCATCTCCAAGCTGGAGAAACCAGGGAAGCTGATGGTGTAATTCAGTCTGAATGCAAAGGGCCAAGAACCAGGGGGCAAATGGTGTAATTCCTGTGGGAGAATGAAAGTCTGAGAACCAGGAGTGCTGGTATCTAAAGGCAGGAGAGGATGGATGTTCCAGCTCACCCAGACCTGAAGGTGCGAATTCACCGTTCCTCTGCCTTTTTGTTCAGTCAGGTCCTCAAAGGATTGGATGATGCCTGCCCTCCTTGGTGAGGGCAATCTTCTTTACTCAGTTTACTGATTCAAATGCTAATCTCCTCCAGAGACACCCTCCCAGACACACCCAGAAACTATGTTTTACCAGCTATCTGGGCATCCTCTAGCCCAGTCAAGTGGACACATAAAATTAACCATCACACCTGCTCAAGGTTACCCAGCTAAGTGGCCACCATCAGGGTTGAACTTGGTTGCTCTGATGTTAGAGGCCATACTTCTAGCCCTTAGACTTAAATTGTCCCCCTTAGGCAGAGGCAGAGAGGATAGAATGAAGCACCATGGTAAAGAGTCAAAGGTAAAGCTCCTCAAGGAGGTCATACCCGTTTCTTAGGAAAAACACAAAACATGCATGCAGAGGTGAACATTCGAGAAAAATGTGGAGAGGCATTGCATTCGGGAAGGATATGTAAGGTTCAGGGAGCACCTTGGCGAAGCTGGAGATAGGCAGGGGGTGGAGGGATGGGGTAGAGGGGGTGCGAGGGGGTTGGGGGGCAGCAGGTCTGGCCAGAGGGAGCAGTTGCTATTTCAGCCATCTGGGGACCACCTTCAAATGGTGTTGCTGCCCCGGGTCCTTGCCACCCAGCTAGGAGTTGGGAGGTAGGTCGTCTCCCTCGTGGATGAATGCCTGGCCCATTTTGAGAGATGATGATCTGTATGAACAGTTTAAGAGCCTCACGGAGCTAGGTCTTGAATAGTTGTCCTTTAGCAGAGCAGCTTCGTTATGTTTCTTTGAAAATTTTGTAAGGCCCAGGACATCAGAGACAAATTCACATTGTGAATTATCCACCTGACCAGTGACGTACATTGATAAAGACACAGTCATTGGGAGCCTACTGCATGACTGGGTATGTATGTGTGTATATGTATTTTTTTTTTCTGTAAAAGCAACACTGTTGGATTTTTTCATTCTTCAAAAACAATATATACTTGTTGCAATAACTGAAACATAGAAGTGTAACAAAGAAAACATAATAACAATGCCTCCGTCTATCCCAATTCCCGACCCACTGTACCAGTGTTGGGTAATGGGATCCTTCCATGCTTTCCTGTACAATCACAAAAGCATTAGAATTTATGTGTATGTGTGGAATATGTTTCTTTTCTTTTAAAAAAATTTACAAAAAGATTATACCACATACCATACTCTGTGACTTTGTAAGTTTAGTATATAATAAATATTCCCAGCCATAACCCATTATTATTATCACCCCCATTATTTGTAATGACTGTGTTAGAGTCCATAGTATGAAGTATTATAATTTATTCAGTTATTCTCCTGTTGGGAATATTCTAGTTTTATCAGTTCTTTGTCTCTACAAACATTGCTGCTTTTCTAACCTTAGATGCTAGTACTTGGTTTTTTGTTTTTTTTGAGCATAGATTCCCCAAGGTGGAATTGCTGGTCAAAGGGTATTCAAATTTAGAATTTTGTTGGGTATTGCTAGATTGATTTCCTCAGAAGATCATTCCTACCCACAGAAGCATTTCATAAGCGTGCCCTTTTGCCACCTTCTTACCAGCACAGGATGTTAGCAGTCCTTAACATTTTTATTCACTGGATGGGAGGAAAAAAAAGATATTTCCTTGTTTTCCTTTGATCTGCATTTCCATGGTTACTTTATTATATGTTGCAAGTATTTTCTTGCAATATCCTTGCTTCTCATATGGCTTAAATTTTGGTGTCTTTGCCGTATAAAAGATTTAAGGACTTTTTATGTAGTCAAATCTGTTCTTTTTCTCTTTTACAGTTTCTGGGTCCTTTTCTCTGAGTTTCAGAGGGTTATCATTACAGAGGTCACACAAATATTTTTTTAAACTTCCTTCTAATGTTTTCATTTTATTTTTTCCATTCAAATTTTATCTTATCCAGAATTGATTTTACATTTGGTATGG